ATTGTGACAATAATACTTATAACGCTAGAAATAAGAACAAACTCGCTGTTCCCACAATTAGGCTCCATAAAGTTAATAAAACATAGTGACCTAAAATTGACGTATTAGTACGCTTCAATAATAAACTACCAAGTAATGTGGTAAACTTATCAAATAATAAATTTTAGAAAATTATAAAACAGAAGCTCTCTAGGAAAGCTTATTATAAAATATCGGATTACCTAGAAGATAAGGAAGCTCCAGCAATAGCTAATAATTTAATTGTTACTAATATAAGTATTATTAGGAAACACAAAAGATTAGAACGTGTAGGTACTTTAGACTTTTAAAATCTACCGAGGTTAGGTTAGTAACAAGCCCGTTCGCACGAAGTCTAGAAATAAAAGTGAGTCAACGCCGGTGTTGCCATGCTTTATATAGGTTTCTGCTACAAGATGGCGTTAGTCCGCTAACACGGCCTCTCCTGACACCCTGACGTCCTCGTCAGGATTTGATGTCCCAGCGTCTATACTGTCATGTCTGTGAGTAGAATAGAACGTTAGAAAATTACAGTTCTGGGAAGGTATTGCGTCGTCTATTTGGTCAGCAGCTGAACATATTTACTTGGTTTAATACAAACAATCAAAGTAATGAAAGATAGAAAGGAACTTTAAAGTATCAGACTCCAAGGAATGAGTGAAAGATTATTTATAACCCTTACAAGATTTGAAACAAACTATCACTTTCATGTGTAAAGGACTTGTGTAAACAATTACAAGTTTAGTGTCACCATAAGGTATAAAGGTGTACTTATTTCTCAAGAAGATCGTGAGTTTGGGGCTGGTTACCCTGTCCATTGATCTTTTTACCATTCATAAAGGAAGATCGTGACTTTGGGGCTGGTTACCCTGTCCATTGATCTTTTTACCATTCATACAGGAAGAACATGAGTTTGGGGCTAGTTACCCTGTCCATTGATCTTTTTACCATTAATACAGGAAGATCGTGAGTTTGGGGCTGGTTACCCTGTCCATTGATCTTGTTACCATTTATACAGGAAGATCGTGAGTTTGGGGCTGGTTACCCTGTCCATTGATCTTTTTACAATTTATACAGGAAGATCGTGAGTTTGGGACTGGTTACCCTGTCCATTGATCTTTTACCATTTATACAGGAAGATCGTGAGTTTGGGGCTGGTTACCCTGTCCATTGATCTTTCAAAAAGCAAATATTACAGAATTAGATAGCTTCAGACTTAACACAAATAAAGATAAAACTCAGTATATTTGCAATACACCGTCGTATCGACAGGCTCCTAGTGCTCTCATAAGCGACAATTTTTGAAAACAGAGACTCATACATTTTGCATGTTCTCTAAGTGGTCTAAACACATTAGCACCAGAAAAACTTAAAACAGAGACCCATACACTTGTATGTTCTCAAAGTGGTCTAAACACATTAGCACCACAAAAATTTAAAACAGAAACCCATACCTTTGCATGTTCTTAATAACAAAGACCAGATCATCCTTCTGGAATTTACAAGGGGGGGTCTACGACCCACATTAACGACAGTGTCCTGATTGATTTGACTGTTCTTCAACCGTTCGGCCGTCCTCTGTCAAAGCATCTCTCGTCTACCTTGCCGACTAGACGATCCCGAATTTAATGCGACACTGTTGCACTCTCATGACAAACACAAACAACACTTTTACACAAAGAGCACTTTTAAAATGTTAATCACTCGTGACTTCGTACATTACGGACACAAAGAGAAGGAAAATTTAAACCACAAAGATTACTCAAAACAAAACAAAAGAGAAGTGAGCGAAAAGTTCAAATCCCAATTCTGATATTAGGAAACACAAAAGATTAGAACGTGTAGGTACTTTAGACTTTTAAAATCTACCGAGGTTAGGTTAGTAACAAGCCCGTTCGCACGAAGTCTAGAAATAAAAGTGAGTCAACGCCGGTGTTGCCATGCTTTATATAGGTTTCTGCTACAAGATGGCGTTAGTCCGCTAACAGTATTATAAATAACTTAAGACGATTTAAAAAAAAACTAGAGGTTCATGCCTTTCTCCTTGTGTGCTGGTCGCGATTCCTAACAGGCCGTAGAGTTGACAATTAAAGTGATCATGTGATTAAACTGAATAAATAAATTTTGAACAGCTTGGGATTAATAAGCTCCATTATGCCTTTCCTTGGATCGCGGCATCACAGCAGCTAGGACCTTGAATGAGTTGAGCTCAATGACTCGTGTCATTGACAGCCTTGGCCGGGATGCGTTTGTACGCACCCAGTGCACGGCTTAATCCACCCTGGATACCTCTATCTTTATTGTGGCACGACATCATCTAGGCCATCTATAAGCCCGAGTTTATAAATAACCATCGAACAATTCTATAGAATTTCCAGACTTATATTTATTAAAACAAATATCGACAAACTTATAGAAAACCAGTTGATACGCCTTCCACGTTCATACTTAATCATTTCTTGTGTTTGTATTAAGTTAGAATATTTTTTTCGTATATTATATTTGGCTTATTTATCCATAAACAGAATTCCAGATTGGCGAAGAGTGTTCCAATATTTGATGTTAAGTGACACCGCTCATGGACACTCATACTCGCAAAAGACATTGATTTGAAGACGTTGATTTGGTTAGGAAATAGTGGCGAGCAGGTTTCACAAATTGTCATATACAACTATTTTTTTTAAAATGTAATAGGAGGCAGGAGGCTCACCTGATGTTAAGTGATACCGCCCCGCCGCCCATGGACACTCACAATGCCAGAAGGCTCGCAAGTGCGTTGCCTTTCAAGAATTGGTACGCTCTTTTCTTGAAGGACCCTAAGTCGAATTGGTTCGGAAATACTTCTGTGGGCAGCTGGTTCCACATAGTGGTGGTGCGCGGCAAAAACTGCCTTAGAAAACGCTCTGTTGTGGAACCACGGACGCCGAGGTGATACGAGGTGAACTAACAGTCTTATAGAGAAAAATAGACAATTTTAAAGGATTTGTTTTTTAATTTTCCAAACTAAACCTAAACGATGTTACAGCAATTATTTAAGTGCTAAGCAAACAACATAGCGCCATTAAAAAGTATCGAACATCTCAAATTTAAAAATAGAATAAGTACACAGAACAGTACTTGTTTATAAAAAAAACAATCAAAGAAAGTCTGTACCTATCCCCACAGAGGTTTAACGAATCTATTATTATAGTCTCAAAAGTTCCCTTTAAAGTTCAAGTATTCCAAATTAATTTGGGTGCATACTAATTGAGGCAGTCCAAATATTTGGAATGACAGTGGATGGTATTTAATAAATTCTTCCTTCAGCATTTTGTTTCCGTTTTTAATATACACTCCCGATATACATATTCATTATTATAGCGTACATCAATGAAATTGGATTTTTGTTGAGTAAACTCTCTTTGATGTCGACTTTACATTCCCGACGGCACATTATACGATTCTTAACGATATTTGCTTTTCGGAAGCTATTTTATAATTACAATTCTGTATAGAAACAATTAAAAATGAGATTAGAATATCTTTGTAATTAGTTATAACAAAATACAAATCTTAACAAATAAAAAAATATACTTAATAATTTTATTATGGGATTTTAGAAACAATTCTGCTTTTTCTAGAAATTGAACAATATTGTTCTCTTTAGTGATTTCACTTTGCAATAATATATTCTGAACATGGAACTGAAACAATTATTGTTTCCCTGAAAATCTCCAGGTTTTTCTTGCGTTTCCAATTAGCAGATAGTGAAAATTTGAATACCTTCAGAACTTAGGATTTTGAATATAGAAGGTTTTCTTTCAAACACTCAAACAAGTTTTGAATTTAGAACACTCTAATAATTCTGCAGTTTACTTAAAAACAATTGAACGCATGAAGATTGCTAGATTCTGACTGAATCGATATAAGTTGTTTTAGTGCGCAAAACGATCGTCGTCTGGACGGAATCCTATGGATTAGGCCTCGAACACGCACCCTCACCATTTCACCAACTTTCTATTTATGTTGGGTCGCTAAGCAAACAACTTGTAGGCTCTTTATTACAGTTGTTCGTTTCCGCTCACGACGTCGTTATGCTATAAAATAACGTGTCAGTTTTTATTTGGGGAATGGAATTGAATAGGGTTTAAATTTTGTTTCAATAACGAAACTATACAATTATTTATAATATATATAACATAAAACAATTATTCAAATACTGAACAATAGTTAGAAATTACTTAGATTTAGATCTCTAGGGCTACAGCTGTAATGACATGACAAAAATAACCTTAAGATATATAATATATGTAGTATATAACACACCTCTCTTGTTCTTTAATATTGTGGAACATTTTTTTGTTCCATCATCAATCGTTTTCGCAGCGCATGCGATGAAAGATATTTAATAGGCATTTTTTACACCTTGGGTAACATTATTGTAATTTTAGTAGGGATCCTTATTTTTTCTTGCAATTAAAAATAACCGATATTAATGTGATAATGTAGCATTCAAATGGTGAAAGAATTTCTAAAATCGGTCCAGAACTTTTTGAGCCAATTCGTTACAAACATTCTTACATACAAATCTTTCCTCTTTACAATATTAGTATAGATAATATAATAATAATATAATATGATTGGACAATTCACACCAATTGACCTAGTGCCATGCTAAGATGGTGGAATGCCATGGAAGCTTGTGTTATGGGTACATATTATAGATAGATAGACTTATAAATACATATTTAAACACCTAAGACCTAAGCATAACACCAAATGCTCATCACATCGATGTTTGTCTCAGTCGGGGATCGAACCCGGGACCCATGGATTTGCAGTCAGGAGTACTAACCACTAGACCAATGAGCCGTCTAAATAGATAATATACGATGATTTAAATTAGGAATAATGTATTCAATATGCATGCCTAAAAGCGATTAAGCCCAATAATAACGTAACATTTTCGTCCACAGAATAGCATGATGTTATAAACATCAAGGATGGAGCGGTCCGGTCGGCGGTCAAAGGCGGGTTCGCTGAGTGGATTGTCTGGCGGGTTCCCCAATGGAGTCGCGAATTCGGGGAGTGTACGCCGTCAGCGCTCGCTAGAATGGAGTGGTGATAGATATAGCAGCAGCGACGATGACCGTCCCCAGAAGCAGATTGATGATCGGGTGTTTGCTTCTCTTCTGGCTCAGGCTACGCATCAATTCGACAGTAAGAATACATTTTTATTCAACTTAGATTATAGACTAAGGAAGATAATAGAAAGAAAGAAGAAAGACTTTATAACACGCACACACATACACCTCTATAGGAATCTAGTTGACTGTTTTTTTAAAAACTTTAATTTCCTTGCCTACTCATTTATATACTTTTTTGTAATGACTCGGTATGAATTTGTTGTGGAATGGAGGCCTGGTAACCCATATCACAGGTTCTCACCTAGCTTGGAAACCAGTCTCCCAATACCTTCTTAATTGTAATCGTATTGTTTGTTTCAAATGTTATTTGGGAGAAAATAAATTATTATTTATTATACATAATAGAAAAGATGTACAGTTAAAAGTGAAATTACACTGGCTTCTAGAATTCTCTGTGTCGTGGGCAGCTACTTCCCTTTGACATATTTATGATTTTAGGTACTTGACGTAATAAATTCTATATAACACTTACTATAACTTAACTACTGTTGCACAAGAAGATATCGTCAACGACCAGTCGGTTTCCAAGCGGTTTGATCCCTCGGCGGTGCGTAGAGATATGGGGTCTCTGTACCGCGCCCCACCAATATGTGAAACCAGCTGCCCACTGAAGTATTTCCGAAGTAATTCGACTTATTGTCCTTCAAGAAAACAGCGTTCCAATTCTTAACAGGCCGGCAACGCACTTGCGAGCCTTCTTACTTGAGTGTGAACACTAGTTGTGACCAAGTGGTGTTTTCTTTCTATATGCATATTTAACAATGGCTCGTTAGGTGATGGTGAACATCGTGAACCGGCCTGAATAGATTGCGTCAGATGACTTCTGTGTCAGGCACATAAGGCTGATCATCTACCTGTATATTAAATAAAATTAATCACGTCATCAACGTGGAACTGCCACTTCAAGAACACATATAACGGTATCATATTATGATTAGAGTCTATGCTGATATCGTCGAATGCCCCGAAAATCCTTTAACAATAATGTAATTTAGTAACATAAATAATGTAATGAATTTATATAAAAGCGTAACGCACATTTATAAAAAGTAATCGTAAATTATTAATTAAAGTTAAGTTAACTAACAGTCACACCCTCCGTATAAAATAAATCAATCTCTTCGTCACTCGTCTTTTTCAACCACAGCGTTAAGACAATTTGACGGAAAGAAATATAATTATCATTCATGAATAATGAGTTTAACTTTTTCAATCGAAGTTACAGTTTAAAAACTCTTTACTTTGTGCATAAGTACACACCTTGCAGCACACACACACATATACAGGTATATTTATACGTAACCCGTCTGTATTAAAGCGATTGCAGCCAACTAAAGCGTAGGATCAGTCCAAAATTTGTTATTCATCGGGTGACACGGTCGAAGGTCCGCGTTGAGCCCTAACAAGTGGCATCATTAGAGGAACATTGAGGGATGAGGCGGGGGGCAGGGGCTGGGCAATTGATAGGGGGTGCGCTGCGGTGAGCTTATGAGGAAAACTTTGTGGAAACTTCAGCTTCAGTTATCATCTTGTGTCATGCTAACTAAGGCACTGTCTCTTTGAAATTAAGTTTATAGGCAATTTGTAATGTATAATTAAGCATAAATATGACTAAAGAAATAATCTATGTAAAACTACATTTGAATTTAGATAGAAAAGTTATACCAAAATATTTAATCTTTATTTTATTTTTTATTTTTAAAAATTATAATCTGTTCTAATAATATACTGTAGATAAAAGAAATTTCTTTGCATGCAGCAGTATTGTTGAGTACTTAACCAATTAACAAAACCCTCATGATTCTTGGTGATATTACATACCAAAATAGCCGGTGTTACGTTCTCATAATGTTAAATGGTTAAATACATAACATTAACTTAACCGATTCATTCTCTAGGTTCAAAACCAGCAGCATTTTCTAAATTCCGTCTGCAAAAACCAACCTAGGAGCTCAGGCACCTCTCGCTCGAACTCTTCGCGAATTCCTAAATCGCATTGTTTAACAAAAAAATACTAGGAAAATTTAATTATTTATTATTTTTTGTAACATTTATAGTTACCATAATTGTTATATATTTTTGAATATATAACAATAACATATACGGTAGATAAAGCATTATATATTATGTGCTTCACTTTAGTAAATAAATAAAATATTGTTAAAAAATTACATATATTGTTAATCTAACTTCACCTTTTAGTATTTCCTCTACCTAAGAGATAAGACTGTTAAATTCTTTTGCTTTGAATATTTCTTCCATTTCAATACACTTAACATTGCCAAGTATAAACCTTATGACATGATTACAAGTCCATAAATTCAAACGTTGCTTTTAGGTGATAGGCATTACCTTTGGCGGTGGCCCCTAATGTGATTAGTCTGGTCATATTTGAGCTTTATATGCACCACTAGATGGCATAACGTGTTTTCATATTCAGTATTCGGTATGTCTGGCACGTTCCGTTATCCCGATCAACTAATCATCTGCTAATGGATTCCTATTAATTAAGTTTCGCTTTAAGCGATAAATAAACATTGATAGAGTGGTTTAGGCGTTATATATGTCTATTCAATGTATTAATTTAAACAATCAGTAGGGCTACAACCTTTTTAGGTTGGGCCTCAGATTTCTGTATCTGTTTTCTTGTTTCATTCTAATAGGCAAGTAGGTGACCGTCGACTTTTTGGTTCCAGCGAATGTTAGTGGTTAGTTAGTTGTAAGTGGTACTTATTATTCAAATCATATCATTTCAGTCTTCATCATTAATTTAATTACACCATTAAGTCAATATTTATCATTAATTCAGTCTTCACCATTATTTCAATATTGATGGAGACTGAATTAATATTGACTTAATGGTGGAATTGTATTAATGGTGAAGACTGACTTTATGATACCAAAAATAATCAATCACCGCCTCAATTTCCTCACGATGGTTTCCTTCACCGTTCGAGCGAATGTTAAATGCGCACGTAGAAAGAAAGTCCTGCTGCACAGCCGGGGATCAAACCTACGGCCTCAGGGACGAGAGTCGCACATTAATGCCACCGCCAACACTTCTCTTTTTAAAATCTATTTATTAATATCGGCTATTAAATATCTCCATTGCTGTTAAACAACAAGACAATATTGTGTTAGTTTACTAAGGTTATTTTTTCATTGATTATTATTTCTTAAAAATACCCGAAAAATTGTTTCCTAAGTTTTTTTCAAGAAAAGCTTCACTGTAGAGTTTTAGCAACTTCACTGTAGACTTTTAGTAATGTTCTTAGCAAACATGACAAGTGCAAAAACAAACTGAGTGAGTATATTCGATCGAACGTAAAGAGTGACATTTGTAAGAATTGTTTTAGACTATCTTCAAGCTATGATACTGTAGGTTGGCAAGTGATAACTATAAATGGGTAGGTGCAGAAGGGTCTACGCCGTAGACTATGAGAGCTACACAGTATTCCGGTACAACTATCACGAATTTTAGAAAATATATCTTTAAAAAGGATAATACAACGTTTTATTTATATTGATTCTGAATTTGTTTCATGATAATTTTATTTCTCATAGATAGTTGAGTCGTACTAGACACACGCCATCGATTTGTTAAGTTTACGATATGCGCCGGTATACTCGCGATGTTTGCCACACATAGAAAAAAAAATCCTATGGTGCACAGCCAGGGTTCGAACCTGAGATGAGAGTCGCACGCAATAAATTAGATCAACACTACTCTACAGATAAATCATAAATGACATATATTTAATGGCGTTTAATGCCTAAAATATTACTGAAAAAATACATAACAACGCCTGATCTCGTATTATCGAAGCTAGTACCGTGGTTGAGAAATGTTTTGACATTACATAATGGGTATATTAAAAAAATACATGGTATTTGGACTGTCTGTGTGTGTTCATTTGTTTGCATGATGTAATATTTATAAATATAGAAAGCACTTTAAATCTGATTTTAGCATTACAAAATTGTGATTAATTTAAAGCGTAAACCTTTAATTCATAAGAGTATTAGCCGTGTACGAATTATCTTTGTATTTAAGGATTTTATTTATATTACCTACCAGCTAACTAACTTACTAAAGATAAACCAGCACATCGCACAGATATAAAATCTGTATTATACATGTTCAGCAAGTATAGTTTTCTTAGTTAAATAATATACTATTTGCAAAAGTCTCTACATAAATAATAAAGTCAATCTTAAACATATATTTAATAGATAAAGGCTAACGAGGAGGCTAAACTTAAGTGAAGGCTTGCAAGTACGGACTTTTAATAATAATAATAAATCGTTTATTTGCAAAGAAAGTACATTTCGCTTGATTAAACATAGTCATAACAATAAGAAGAGTTAATTATAATTGTCGCCAAAAGGTATGGTATAAATACTCTTCCTAGAGTTAATAGATGTGTTGTTAAAGAAAGAAAATCCCTTAAAACATACTCACAATACTCGAAATAATATAAGAAGTCTCCATTACATTTTCCTCCCGTGCCGTTGTTATTAGAAGGCCTAGCGCAATATCACGAAGCATGCTCCACAAGAATCCTTACCGTTATTGCATGGAAATTCTTCGACGTGCAACTTCATTGAGGGACTCTTTTGTATAAGGAGAATGTTTCCCAGTTATTGTTTTTCGAAAGCGAGGGAGGTGATATTACCTTTCTGGAATCAAAATAGACGGTTTATTAGATTAAGGCGGCTCCGTATCTAGGAAAATATTAGATTTTATAAACTGGTTTCCGTCTGCGTTTTATATACGCTTAAGCGATATTTTGATGTAAATATTAAACAGTTGTTAAAAGATTAAAAGGGGAATACTATCAGTAGTTTGTAGCAGTGTTAGTGTAGAGATTAGGTGGGAGGTCATTAACTCAAGGGCCTTGCGTTCGTACCTTGGCTGTCATGATTTGTTCTTTTAATCTTTATGATTGAGTGAACCAGCAAGTACTATCAATTAGAATTTTTTTGCTTATTCAAAAGTCAAAGTCAAAAATCATTTATTCATATAACACTATGTACACTTATGAACGTCAATAAAGAAATATACATTAAATGCTTCTAATTTTACATTTACTGCCATTTCTCAAATCAAGGGAACGGACGGAACGGGCGTATAACGGAAGAGAAAAAAGTGAAAAATAATTCCTAATTTAGGCTGAAAATGGTAATGAACAAAAAATACTGGTATTATTGTGAAAAAGCGTGGGTTGCTCGATAAGGCACAGAGCGCGCCACGCTTTTTCACAATTTTAGTCCTAGCAGCAATACGTGTTGTCTCAATTTAATCGTATTGCTTTGTGGACTTAAAAAAATTTCATTGTTTTTTCGAGATAAACATATGAAATTATTATTATATATTGTCGCTGATTCTTTATAAGAGTACAAAGTTTGAATTAAATCTGTCCGTTTAATGTGGGTCAAAATCGAGTCCGAAGGAGTCGGTTACATACATACATACATACATACAGGTGAAGCTAATATAAAGCATGTAAAAATGGCAATAAACTCTCCGCCACTCTAATTAATCACCAAATGTTTTTGTTTTACACAACGTTTGTAAGGAGCTGCAACCTTACACCCTGTTCCACATGACATATTAACTAATAAATAATAATAACAGAAATTAAAAACAAAGACTTGTCCTCTATCAGCAGGAGGCATGGTGAAATAGGAGCACGCACTTACATTCTCATGGGAATAACACGCAAAACAGTCGAAATAACTAACATCACCGCATACACGAATTCAAGTACGAAGTCACCACAAGTAGTGGTTTAGAGTGGT